TACTACTTCATTCAAAACTCTTTTTAAGCCTATTCCTAAAAAACTTTTTGTAGTTATCTTATAGAAGCTATTAAGGAGGCATATTGGGCGAAAGTCTTTGACCTTAGAGGCCTGTTTTTTGGGGGATGGGTGTAACAAAGATAGAATTGGTGTCATTATTAATCTTAGATGGCATGTAAAGTCCTTAAACACTTCAAGGTGGTATTCTTAATTATTTTACAATATTCATGATAAAATGTCGAGGAAAGTCATCAAAACCAAGAGTTTTATCTTCATCAATTGAGAAAACTACGTCTTTAATTTATTCATTGAACTCTCTCTCTCTCTCCATCTAACATTTACCATCTTGAGAAAAAACTGTGCCCTCCTAATTAATCATTTTAGGCCTTAGCACTCTATACGAGGTATACAAGTCTTTGAAGAAGTTTACTTCTCATTCTTGATTTGAACAAGGTCTATGATTTCTTAACCCCTCACTTGAATCTTTGGGATAATATTGTTCCTATTCCTTCCATTTGCATACTTTTGGAAGAAGTAGGTATTTCTATTCCCCTTTTTAATTAATTGCATTATGAATTTCTATTTCCAATACAATTATATATGAATCACATTCTACCAATCAAGTTACACTCTATTTCTTCTTTCTAAGCTTAACATTATCAAGTTGACCATGAGTTTCTTTGCTATCCAACAAAGTTTCTCCTTTTAATTTTTTCTTATTGTCAGTTGAAAATGAATTAAAGATTTCCCTACTCCATCTTTATCTCTTTTTTCATTTTTATTTTAATTCAAAGCCATCCCACCCTCAAGTTCATAATCTTCCCACCATCTTACTTCTAATTTGAAGTTATGATGAAGGATCCAAAACTTTCAAATCTGAAAGGTGGCTTAAACTTCTTAATTCTCTCATTTAGGATGCCAATGATCTTAGATGCTTTGAGATCTTGTTTCTTTAAAGGACCTTGGAAAGTGTTCCTCCCTATCATAGGAAATAAGGAATCCCTACAACAAAACTCTAATCCTAGATTGGAGAATTCACCTCTATCCACTTCCATCCCTAAAACAAAATTCTCATCCTAAATTGGAGAACTCACCTCTATCCACTTCCATCCCTAAAACAAAACTATCATGCTAGATTATGATAGGGCCATCGGATGCCCCATTCAATCTGTCCATGCCATTTTTTTTTTGTTCCCGAACTCTTATATAGCCCTTATTAGCCTTCTATTAATAACCTCCTTTTTAGTTTCTTGAAGAACAATGAAATTTGGGTTTTTTCTCTTAAGGGTCTTTCACCCCAGATTCTATTTTTGTTCACCCACAACGCTCTAGCATCCCACGTGAGGATAGTCTTTAGGCACCATTTGTTTTCCTGAGGGAGCAAACTACTTTCAATAAGAATTCCACCTTTTTCCATTTTTTTCTTTATTATCCACTGCTAAAATTCTGAGCTTCAGAAATAGGATTAGTTGAATGCTTTAACTGTTCAGTAGAGTAGGCTATGAAAACAATAATAACACTCCAGACCAGTAATAAAATACATGGTGCCACAACCATTCAACCTCTCAGTGTAGGCCCCATGGCCTTATCATTGGTGTGGAACGTTTTCATTGGTTCCACAGCCTGCTACATAGATAAAGCGTTCAGCTAATCCAAGTTCCCTTTGATTTTCATTTAAAGTGGGTAGTAGTGGACATCACTTCTACCTATAACAAAAGGGGAGACGCAAAGAGGATTTGAAAGGAGAGAAGCAGAGAAAAGAAACAAAGGGCAGATTAGGGTACCTGGCCATTGTGGTTGCAAGAGGCATGGATTGGTAGCTTGGGTTATAGTTAGGAATGGAAATGGGTAGGGTACTTGTGAAAATTGTCCTATCCATTCCCAAACCCACCTATGTACCCTTGATCCCAAATTCGTCTAATTTTTCTTCTCAAATTTTCAAACCAGTCTTGTCACAAACCTGTTAAACCTGTCCCAACTTGTCCCACCCGATTATCTTATGATCAAGTTAAACGTTTCAAGTTCAATATTAAGTATATTATAAGACCATTAGAAGCAACTACAACTAGACTCCTCTGGACATTGTTGGCGATTTCATTGGCCATTGGTAGAATAATAAGTTGGGGAGTACGGGAAGTATTATTAGAAAGCTGTAACATGTATTATGCATGATGTGGGGATTTGGGATGAACACAAGAGGAAAGAAGTTCGTCGATAGAAAGCCTCTAAAACAAAGTATTCAATTTGATCAACTCTTGGATGTTAACCACCAAGACCTTTGCCGGAATAAGCTTGGGAGACCTACAAGGAAGCTGGTTGGAAGTTATGTATATTTCTCCAGCAGTTCCTCTGACCTGCCCCAGCCCCTCTACCCAAGCCAAAAATAGATTTCATTCTCTATTTTGATAGAAGTTTCAAAAGAGACCGAGGAGACCTCACTATAGTTGAGATTGGGGTATCTATTAATCCATTGAGGACCTAGTTTAGGTCTATAGTGGTCCTACTACTGTTACCGATGCAGCTTGTGTTGAAACTTGAAACCCAAGCTCTCTTAGTGGGTCTTTGGATAGCTAAGCAGCAGTAGATTAGGGGGTAATTTGGCAAGTCTTTTTTGAAAGGTCTTTTAGAAGTTTTGACAGTTAAAAGATGATGTGAGTTTTTGCATCAAGATCTTAATAGCTTAAAGACTGTTTGGTTAAGACATGTCAATAAGTTGAAAAAAAAAAAAAAAGTGAAAAACTCCATTTGGAGCTTTCCAAAAATAGCCCAAAATGGGCTTCCCACGTCTTTTCGGGGCTTTGGATTTGGACAATTAAATATTTTCCCAACCAAACAGGAAAATACCAAAATGTGGGCTGCCTAACTTCTAAAAAACCAATAGCCCAGACGAAAAAACGTGCCAAACTAGGCCTAAATTTTTAATAATATGAGACTCCAAAAATGGATCAAAGATCAGGAAACTGGTCCTTTAAAGCTCTCCCATCCATCTACTTGAAATCCATGATTTATCCTCTATGTTTGGGCTCATGGACCATTTCTCATACATCTTTTCCTATTTTTCATACTATGAATACAAGTTACCTATTCTCTCAAAATATATGCATAGATGTAAATGTAAATTTGGTCAAAAAGTAGTTAAGTACGAATGCAAACTTCAAACGCGTTTCATTCTTGCATTGATAATTTTTTATTGTGATGGGTATGAATATGAATTTCAAGAATAGAATGTAGGAAAAAAAATGCAAAAGCAAAACAAGTACTCCCTCCTGTCTTTGAACAAGTTTCTACTAGATCTCCTCATTCTCATGTTTCTCTCCTCCTCCCCACGTGTTTACTAAGCAACCAAGATGGGAAGACGAAGATCACACTTTCTATAAAAAGGCCTTATATCTTTTACAATTTTTTTTATTACTATCGGTTTGTATATATACCTAGACAATATATACAGTTGCACATGATATAGCAATTAAAGCTAGGATGACAAAGGGACATATAGAATTCCAAGATATGGATGGCATCAAGCTGGTTGAGAGATTTTTTGTGCACTCACCCAGTCCGAGCAAATTTGTACTGTTTTCAAAGCTTGACTTGCTAGTGAAGTTTTTTTGTGTGCAAAAAAACAAAAAAGAAAAAAAAAATCTTAATATTCTTCTCCAACGAAACCCCATATAGATCTTTCTTTGTTCACCCATCACATCAGAAATTGCTCCAAACATGTATAATGAAACTCCATATTAGATTCTGGTCTGTTTGGGATTTGGTAAATAGGGATCCTATTGAAGATTGGACTAAATTTATGTGGAAAAAAGGGCTTCCTAAAAAGATCTCTATGTTTATGTGGAGGTTCATGCACGGAGCGCTCCTAACTGATGATCTTGTTTTGCATAAGGGTGTTTCACCACCACCACTAGCACCAGGGGTTATGGCAGGCAAATTTTGGAGGTACTTTTCAAACCTTTTTAACATTTCTCTTATTTCATCTCAACATGTGATTGATGGTGTTAAAGGCTGCAGTTGGAGTTTTAATAAAAAGGACTCCCAAGTACTACGGTTTTATGGAAGGAGAGATGTAAAAGAGTTTTTTGAGAGTTCAGACTCCTCTTCACAAGTTCTAATATCTGAAGTAAGGAGATGGCTGGAAGAAATTAGCTCCACTATGGGAGGCCCTAAGTTTATAGATCATAATCATTACGTTCTTCAAGATCTTTACATTCCAATTAAGGCCACTAAAAGGATAAGAGTAAGATGGGTAGCTTGGAATTTTCCTTCTAATCATCAGTTTAGATTGAAGGTAGATGGTGCAAGTAGAAGAAACCCGGGTGTTAGTGGTGGTGGTGGAATTGTTAGATATGCAAATTATCTCCCCCTCTTGGCCTTCTACCAAATTCCTATGGTGTAGGCGTGTAGCTACTTCCATGGAAGGAGAATTCTTGGCCCTCAATGGAATTCAAATTTGTTTTAACAATGGCATGGCATACATATTATTGAGGTGAAAAGTAATAATGAGGTTCTAATTAATATATCGTAAGGTATGGCTCCTCGTCATTGTAAGTTTTTCTCATAATTAAATAATGCAACCAGTGTGCTGGTTTTTTGGCGAAGGCTTTGATGAAGAATTATTATTTCCAATGTTTTAAAAAACTGACCCGGAACCAGAACCAGAACCTCTTTGGCCACTGGTTTCTTGGTCAGTGATTCAACCATCCAGTTCACGAGAATGGTCCATTCTGATTTAAAAAATAACTAAAATAAAAAATGACCAAAAAATAATTAAAATAGAAAAAGACAGTTTGACCACCCGGATTGTCCCAAACCCAATTACAAAAATCTATGCCTAAGTTCGGGACTGATGAAGAATTTTCCCAAAAAAAGAGTGGCCTCCCAGGTGCTAAAACACACGATTCTGGTCTACCTCATCCTTAAAGTCCACATTAACAATGTTCCATTTTTCTTTACTTTTTATAATTTTAATTTAACTTGTGTTGCCATGAATTGACTAATTTAACGGACAGTTGAACCGCCATCCTATCTCCTCAAAAACAAAATTCAATAGCATGATGGCCATGCACAATACAAAGCTTCAATTACCTCCTATGAATAAACATATAGAGAAACAAAATTCCATAGCCATGCACAATCTAGCAGCTGACCGTAAAGGCCCCCATGTTCGCTCAAAAACTCAAACACTAGAAATGGAAAACTAGGTGAGAGCATAGATTCAATGCCTAAAGCGGTGATTTAGGAATCAAGAGTTTGCAACCATTGGCTCAGGCGTATTGGCATCTCGACTTCCATCAATCCCGGAAGCCTCTAGCTCAGGCAGTCTAACATCTTTGTTTCCTTCCTGAATCTTTGCACACTCTTTCTCAGCCACTTTGGCATCTGCTTCTCTTAACTCTATCTGCTTCTGTTTTCCAGAAGAAGTGTAATTCTTTCTTCTAGCTTCCCTTCGTGCTACCCTCTCAGCCAATTTTAAGTCCTTGAAACCCTGCTCAAACTTGGCCTCATCTTCTGGTGAGAAGAAAACTACATCCATCTCTCCAAGCTCTTCATACATCTTCTCAATTTTCGCTTTCCAGAACAAACCCATTTCTGTGTCCATCTTATGGTAGGGGGTCTTAAGCAGGTACTCGTCAATTCCACCTGCCTTGTCTATGCACCTAAGAGCATGAGTAGTAACCTTAACGCGAATATGTCGATCAAGGATGTAGCTGAAAAGCCGTTTCTCCTGTACATTGGGCTTCCAAGTGCGCCTTGTCCTGTCATCAATAGGGCAAGCAAAACCTTAAGCTCCTTTTTCTAATCAGTAAACATGCATAACCTCGAAAAGAAAACAAGCAAAGAATGATTTCACTTGTAATAATCCAAGGGAACCCAATACAAACCACATTCAAAACACAAGAGAGAGAGAGAGAAATGGCTAAAAGACCATTCTTGGTGTGATGGTAAAATCCGAGGCCTGTTTTTTGGTAGAAAAGGGAGATAATATCATTAAATAAATCAGGATAACAACATCCAAGTGAAGATGCCACCCAATGCTACTTTAAAAAAATCCAATGAAAACCAGCTTTAACAACGCATGGAGTTTAAAAGATGCATGAGCCAGTGCATTAGCTAGCCTAATAATATGGCAAAAATGGATGTTTAAAAAAAAAACAGAGATGCAAACTATCTTTTAGAATGAAAAAAGAGCCAATATCTCCAGCAGAAACCTTGATAGACAATAAATTAGGGGCAGACAGTCGCTCTCTAAGGGGATCCATACTACTCTCAATTTGCACTTTGCAGGCCAATCAAAATTCTTCAAGAATTGCCAAGGCTTTAGCTTGTTGAGCTGACAAAGCTTGACAGGAACCAAATTTCACAGCTACACCAGCACCATCTGTAATTCTGATCTACACCCGAACCAACCAACTGAATGGACATGAAGGCTGTCTGTGCTAACTATAAACCAGGAATTCAGGTTGGAGTCTGAGAGTGGCCACTTTGTGCAAAAATGCCAAAGGTTAGGTCCACAACCAGTCCACCCATCCCAAGACACCCCAGATAGCTAGGACCAATTTATGGCCATTTTAGAAGAAGGATGTAAATCTCTATAGAATATATATATATAAAACCTTTGGCCTTGGCCAGTAGGCTCTGTTAACTATGCTTCCAAAATCTAAATCTTTAACCTATCTGATCATCCCAGTCAGAAAACTATTATAAACCAAAATTTTCATTCAAAGACTTAATATTGCCACTTAAAATTGATTTTTTTATGAGTAACTGATGAGTATATAATTCAATTAATGAAAGAATGAGATATGTACAATATGTGCCTAGAACCCCTATTTATATGAAAGATAGCAAGGAGTTATAGAAAATATCAATGCTAAATTTGCTATATCATGTTAAGTAAGGTTTATCACTATTGTCAGATGGGAAACTTAGGTGGCATTCAGTAGCGCTGAATCGACCACCAAGCACTGCTTTTTCAGCGCTCAGTGGTTGTTCGGCTGCACCTCCGAATGGAGCCGCCAAACACTTAAGTTCCTCCAAATTTTTAAGACTTTGAGCTACCTCCAAGTGTGCTCGGAGGTAGCACATAAAATACTCATTCCAGCGGTGCTCCTTTGAGAAATCGAAAAACCCAAAACTACCCCCACATCTTAAATCATCCCAACCCCAAACCTAAAACCTGTTTTAATAATATTTTAATCATATTTTTTATCAATAAAAGAAAATATCCCAACTCCCCACATACCCAAAACACAAAAGCAATTAGTTACAAGTTACAACTGAGCCCCAAAAAACAGAACTCCTATTCACTCCTTGCCTAGCTAAGCCATCTACAAATGAATTTGCACTTTCTTTTCCCATGTGCACCGAACTTCAATGTCTTTGGTCAGCCATTTAAATTTCCTCTTTTCATTGCTGTAGTTCCAAAGCCTAGTGTTGTCTTCAGTTAGCCAGCTCACTATAGTCTCAAAGTCACCTTCTAATTTCTATGATCAGCTTGTTTATATGCAAGTCTGTGGCCCTTTGAACCCCTTCCAGAGCGACTAATATTTCTGCTCTCAGCAAGTCTCCCACTCCAAATGGACTAGAGAACATGGCTATGAGGCTATCACATTCCTTTTTTTCATCCCTTATAACTCCCCCTATTCCAGAAGGCCCTGGATTACCCATGCTGCTGCCATCAAAATTCAGTTTGGTAAAACCAAGAGGTGGGGTGTTCCAGTAGGAGCTTGAGACCTTCCTGGCTGAAGCTGAATTTGTAATTTCCTTCAATTTCTAATCAGATCATCTTATGAGAATTCTGCAAATAGATCCAAGGTTTCCAGCCAATGAATTACCCTTATATGAGTCACTTCTACCATTGCTTCCACACTTCTCTCATTTTCTGAGAAAATCCTTGAGGCCCTGTTTGGTTCACAGGAATAGGAGTATGGAATCGGAATCGGAATCGGAATGGGCTATTCCGATTTCAACTGTATGGTTGGCGGAATCGGAATCCTATTCCCATTCCTGCTGGAATGGCATTCCCCCATTTGAGGGAACGGGAATTCCCTGCCCCTCCCTTGGGAATGAAATCCCATTCCTGTTGATTCCAATTCCCATTCCCATTCCTGTCAGAACCAAACAGACTATGGGAATGGACCATTCCAGTTCCGATTACAACTGCGAACCAAACGAACCCTGAATTTCTTTCTTCCCAAATAGTTCAACACACTGCTGCCCTAACACATCTCCACATAATCTTTGCTCTTTTTGATGGCCAATTGGAAGGAGAAGAGGTAAACAAGCTTTGCACTAGGGAGTTCCACCTGCACCCAAACAAAGAAGTAAACCATTCCCAAATAAATTTTGCAAATTGACAGGAAATTAGTAAACGATTCCTAGACTCACCAGTCCTTGCAAAGGGCACACCATTGAGGAGACAAACATCTATTGGGTCTTTTTCTTTGAAGCAAATCTCCTGTGTTAACTCTTTCTAGAAAGGCCTCCCACCTTTAGAGGAATAGGTTAGATTGACACCACACCTCTTTATCAGGGAAAGACATTCCAATAGAAACAGTCGGTTGTATTAGGGCTTTGAAGAAAGAAGAACAAGTAAAGGAACCTAAGGGAGAAAGGGTCCAAATTCTACTATCTACCTTTGTTGGCTCCAGGAAAACCCCATCAAGGATGGATAATAAGGCTACGGTACTGTCCAATTATGTTTCCCTGATGTCTCTTCT